CTACAACTCCCAAATATTGAATTTTTATCTAAATCAAACATTTTGTTGGTGTTCACTTTAAAAAAGATCTAAAGCCGTCATTTTTGCGGGTTACAACGCAATCTACATTTGTGATATATAAGTTAGTTTACTATATATCCCAAGATATAATCGTGTGTTGGTATGCAACTTTAACTTACCTCCTATATGAGTTGGAAAACTTTTAGGAATGGGATACTGTCCTCCGGCCTTCTTATTCTCGACCCATCGCCCTATTCCTTCGGCCTTCCTATCTCCGACCCACGGCCCGATCTTCCTCAGCGGTCCAATCCTCGACACACTCACTGCCTTATCCTCCCAGCTTCTCTATCTTTGGCCCACTGTCCCAAATTCCTAAACTCGACCTACTGCTTTGTTCCACTCAGCCTTCCTATCCCCTTGTTATTCTCGGCTCCGTTCCAATTCCAGCTGCGCATTACTCACGTCGTGACCATCAAGTCTAACATTCTCTGTTTCTTTGTACTGAGTGATATGGAAGTTTTCTCGAATCTCCGGGGTATTATTTATTTGCAATGATGTAAGAAGAATTGTATACACTACATATATTTTACTGATGAGATACCTGCCCTACCTGGGCTACTCATAAATATGGTTGAGGTTGTAATTCTCACGCATGAGTAAAATTCTCTTCCGTGATTCATTCCATTTTCTGTTTGATTTCTATAATCTGATAAAACAATAAAGAAAAACACAAACGATCGAATCAATATTTATTATTATGCTTGGAAATATACAAAAATGACATGGGATGGAACAGCTATGAACTCTTTTTCCTGATTAAAAAGTTTCAAAAGACAAGCCTACCAATTCAACGCATATGTTATACGACTAATCATTATAAAGAAATAATAGGAGTTAATTATAAGTAAAAGTAAGTTTCACTTGTCAAGACAAACACACTTGTGTGCCCTTTGTAATTTAATTCTAATACCAGACCAACTTCAATGATGAATAAAAGAAGCACAAATGAAATATCAGTAATTTAACCACCCGAAACATAAAATTTAGTCTTCTTTCGTAAATGAAATCAGATTGTAATGCGTCAAAGACAGACAATATAAAAACATGTAATTTACCAACATTAAAAAGTAATTTAAGTTTGGATCACTCACGGGTTGTTTATAATTTACGATCTAATAGACATGGGAAAACAAGAAGACGGTTATTTAAGAATTGATAGTCTACAAAACATAACGGCCATAGAAAACGAAATAAAAATTTTGATTGAACTTATATCAGAGTAAGTTTACATATATCAGGAATGTGGAATACAATATTGCTCTATCCGTCAACAAAGTTTTGTCAGGTTTTCAGATGGTTTTATATTTCACATATGACACCGTGCCATTCGATTGGTGAGGCTTCATTCATAATTCCACGATTCTTCTCTGGATTTTCATGAACAGAAACAGCAATATTTGTCCACGGTGACTCGGATGAATCCGGGTATCCAAGCTATCACGCTTCGATTGCTTAAAATAGGTGAAAACAGTAATTACTAAAATATCACCAATTATAAAATACTCGAAATTGAAAAGACTCGACTTAACGAGTTGACAGGATATATTTAAATTGCATTATGTTTTATATTTAGGGTTTTTCTAATTATCCAATCCAATCCAATAATTATCCAATAATTAAACTGCCCTCCATTTGGTAATTTTTTTTGTTTAAACTGATTTGAGTCAATTTTCAACCCGGCGAAATTTACGAAATTAAGTCAAGCTCCGCTGAGTGCCCGGATTCCTGTTTGTGACCTATCAAACGGACATTATACTTTATCCCCGCCAAAAAGAGAATTGTTTTCATATTAGCAAACAGCAATGATTCAGCAAATTGATTCAGCCATGTTAAAGGTGACGTTCTTTGTTTTATACAAAACTGCTCAGAAGCATTTAGAAGTGTATATGAAGCCACTTTCATCTAAAAACAATAGTAATGCGGTCGTTGAATGTTTTATATTTAGAGTGTTTTCAAGAAATGACGTCATCAAATCTGAAAGATTTGGTAATCCAATGAGAATTTCCTCAGAAATATTGCATTCCATTAATTTCAAAAAAAGAAAAAGCGATAAGACGAACTTCATATTTAATCATATTATAACAGCAAACAAATCCGTTTTGGTCTGAGATATGTTAGCAAGATTTGTGGCGCAACAAAATATTTAGTTGAAAATTGAATATCTTTAAAAATGCTCAAGAGGTATTGTAGGTTAACTTTCTAATTAGCTCTAATCTGGTCTCTTAGTTAACTTCATTTACTGGTATTCTGTGAGCCCCAAGCAACGTTGTAAAAGCTCGGAGCAAGAACGGGTTGAAAAAAATTTACAATTGACTCCGGGTTAAGTAACATTTCGACTCCCACTTCGGGATTAAAAAATTTTGACTTTGACTCTAGCTTAGAGAAAATTAAAATTTGACAACGAAAACTTGCTATCGTATACAATCCTTCTTCAAAAGGCTGTTAAAAAAGCTCAGTAAAGTTAATGCTTTTTGAGTTTCTGAAAAAAATGTTTACTTTTATTAGCATCATTGAAAGTATGAAATTCCGACTCCGGGCAGATTGAAAATTTAAACTCTAGTAGAAACAACTTCGACTTTGCAGGTTCCGAGTAAACGAATTGACTTACGAGTAGCAAAAGAAAAATCACCCAACATCAAGGATATGTAAAAACGACCGCATTAGGCAACAACTGCACCTAGTTCATCCATTGTGCATTTTTGCTGCACTCCCCTCCACCTGCAACATCTGACACGAGGATCAGTAAAAAGTCAATAGAGTGTCACGCAGGGGTGGTCAATGACTTTCCTAATTTGGTCACTTACGTATAATGAACTTGGTTACTGAACCGAAGGTTTAAAACTCAATATGAGTAAAACAGATTATATACAAATAACTAGCGTCGATAACATTTGCCTTCCTGCTTGTTTCACTGATGTACATACAATAGGTATTTGTTGCAGGAGATGCATTAAATAAAGTTGGAGATTAGAAAGAGACGTGAGTACAGACAGAATAATTGGATTTAATTACTGGAATTGATGTATCAGACAGAAATTAATATTACATTATTTTCAGGCGCGGATAACTCGCGGGGAGTCACAGTACCAATTTTAGCCAACAATTCGTTATTTTTATCGATATTTTCAACGGCAATTTATATCCATAAAAACTATAGTCGTAATTTCGGCAGGCAAAAATGGGCCAGATAAAACACTTCGGTTATCCGCATCCCGCCCACGGGCCGTAATTTGCCCACCCATGATGCAGCAACCAAACCTATTTCACTTCTTATAATATATATAATATATAATAGTAGGTCCCATTACATTTGAATCCACGACAATTGCACCTGCATACTATTGCATCTATGGAAACTTTTTTTGTTTTACGGATATTTGAACCCATACTAACCCTAACCCATGAGTTTAAGCACCCGCATATAGATTGGACCCGCGAGTATGCACGTGGGTTCAAATGTATGTGGGTTCAAATGTACGGTCACCTATATAGTTGCATTTGATTATAGTATTTTTTTTAAATTTATCTATTTTTGTTGCCTCCTATCCACCCGGTTTATAAATATATTGGGCCGTTTTATTGAGCAGTATAACTATAAATATAGAAGATTTTTAATACGCACGCATCAACTGCCAAAATTAAATAGGTATCAGGTTAACATTTGTGCGATTTTCCAACCAGAATTTATCGGCGGAAGTTGGCTTTCATATGCTATATATTGGATGGTAAAATCATCCTAGAATGAGGTTAACGAAAGTTTTACACACGCCTATTTGAGCTACTGATTGCGGTAGCTGTAAAGCTTTGTTCCTCAAATATGAAAATTTTATTTTCCTCCCAGTGCTACGTCATGCCAACAAATAATCATTTAAAACCTCATTCCGGTTGACCAATACTCAACGAAATAACATATTTTTGAATTTTAATCCGAATACACACGTCCGAGTCGAATGGTATCCACGGCTGCAGCAACTTAGCAGAGTAAAATTTTTAAGCTACCACTTATGGTGGTGAATTACCATTTAGGATTTCAGACAATACGCCTACATTGAATGGCTTGAAAAATCAAGAAAATAAGACGCCATTCCAAGATTTCAAACATTTTTGATTAGTCATTATTTTCACTCACAGGAGCTATGAATCTTTTGCATACTTAAATCTAACCATAATATCTAACTTGTACGCTTCAATAATCTCATTGGCATAGTTGCGCCGTAGAGCGTTGGCAGGGCGCAGCTATATTCGGGACGGAGTCGGAGGTAGCACTGTGAGAATATTGGGGAGAGAGCAGTGGGTTGAGGACAGGAAGTCTGAAAGGGATATGGCAGTGGGTCGAGTATAGAAATATTGAAGGGGGTTTGGTGGCGGGTCACGGATATGAAAGCTGAGGGTTGGAGATAGGGATGCTGAAAGCGGTGGGGAAGGGAATCTAGGAAGAATTGGACAATGGGTAGCAATGATGATGGAGATATGGCAGTGTGTAGGGGATAGGGATAGGAAGACTGAGGCAGATATGGCAGCGGATAGAGAATGTGAAAGCTGAGTGGTAACGAAATCAGGCTAGAAAACTCGTTATTAATGACTTTTTCAGTATTCTGAAACCGCCTGAGTGATTCAACCCACGACGTAAATCTCCGTATTCATCAGGCCTTTCACGAAGTAAGTTTTGTAACCCTTGCTCAGTCTGCTTCTACGCACTTACTAATTGAGAGTAAAACAAGCAGCAACCTTATTAAATATGGAAAAATCTATCTATCTGGAAATCTCCATGATACCATATAATCGCGTATGTTTCTCCCTGTTTTTTATAGTTTAGTAAGAGGTAGCCGTAAATGTACAATGCTTGATATAGTATGACAACTTATACAATCGGGAATTAGAATATGCAGCCACGTACTGAACAACCGCTCCTTTAAATCATGAAATACAAACAATGAATTCGAGATGATATCGTTATATTTTGTTATTCACTCGATTCTAAACTCTTTTTTTTATAGAATTTTCCGATTATTGAATATTAATCCTTTTGATCTTTGATAAGTATCTTTCTTTTTCGTTCTTATTCTTAACCTAAATAAATAATATATATTAAATTAAAATAGATGAAAATGAAAAATTTGTTTTGCAGAGGTATTTTTGTATGTATTGGGCTGTGTTGTATTTTGTGTCTTTTCAACTAAATTATTACTTACAACTTGGTATCTCGCAAAACTCCCATCTCTTTTCTGAATCCGTAGTGTAGCACCATGGTCTCGCCTCGTTGTCTGGATTACGACATAAGTTTGCATCTAGTCCTGAGTGAGGATAGTTGTCTTTTGTTCTGAATGCGGTTAAATTTAATTTTCAGTCCAAGTTCAGAAAACTTCTTACCTGCATCTAATCACGATTCATGTGTTGAAGAATTGGAATTACAGTCCAGAACCTGTTGTCAGCGAGTTCAAAATCATCACTAACATCCTTAACGTCACAGTGCGGTATATATATATATATATATATATATATAATTGTTTCAAATAAACATTTGTCTCAGCTTCGCCATTTACGCTCATGTTTGGGATCGATTGCCTGGCTAGTTATTTTCAGTTAGGTTTGTGTGACTTGAATGTAATTTTGTGCTTAGGCGACTACATTTGCCAGAAGATTGACTTTGACATAGTTTTTTCGTGTCACATTACTATTTTTTTGGCATGGAATACTATTATTAATCAGTTTCATTAATAGAACTTCAGATTCTACCTTATGGCTTTGAGACTTTTGTTCATTGATCATGTATTCAGACTAGTCTAGAGTGATTAGCAATATATAATTATTTTTCGTCGACTACCAAAACTAACGTTGGTTTCCCATTTTACCGAGAATGTTGGTGTGGAGTTTGACGGTCCCATCTTTGACAGAGTTTTCCACTTATAGTCATTGCTATTAATCCTCTGTATTTCTCGCCTTTGCCAAGGTAACATCCTGCGGAATTAAGTTTGATTTTTGACATCACACCGACTTAATCTCTTTATCTTATAGAACTTTATTAGAACTAGTTCTCTGAACTAGATATTGAGAAAAATCATACTGAGCAACTAACAGAGCTTATATTACTAACCAATTAGTGCGTCCATCTTGTTCTGGAATTTGGTCACCTTTTCTTCTAGAACTGCGATTTGCAGCTAAACTTAAAGTATGTGGAAGTGAGCATATAAGGCGTGGTCAGCTCATGACAAGAAAATGCAAGAACAGTTACAGGTAAGATAAAATATTAGTTTGACCTTATATTCATTTTACAATGAGTCATGTTAAAAGGTATTGAGCCATCATTAAAAAGCGTTATAAATTTATTTTGGGGGGGTAAGAATAAAAAAACACGGCTTCGCCTCACTGTCTTTCCAAATAAGAATGGAACTGGTTAATCGGTTCTATGTATCCACGTAATGGTGGAGAAAGCCGACATGCGTTAGCCCCACTGAGCAGCGAGAAGTCCAGAAATATTTTGCATATCCTCACATCACTTCGGATCCTCATCTCACGCGTAGCGCAAAACAGTTTGCGCCTCGTTGATGATCGTTTGCCGAACGCTTATGCAATGAGCCAAATTTCGAACCGGCTAAACCAATTCAATTCAAGAAACAGAAAAACACAGATTAAATATATATATATTGACGTTTGTTCTGATTCCTTGGACCTTTCCACACTCAAAAACTTAATGTGACCTTTTTAACACTACGACTTGCATTATTAAATTTAGAATATTAAATTGCCGACTCGCACATATACATTTTATCTCTATTTTTATCCATATTTCATCGCCAATGCTATCTGATTTCTTATATACAGCGTGGGTCAGAAACCACGGTGACCTAACCGGTCTTGTATACCAACCCTCACAAATGGTGATAACCAATTATTATTGAATTATTATTTTTTGTTTCAGTTGCTTCAAATGTTTTATAGTGTTGACATTATTTGTGAAATACAATCTCTCTCTCTATATATATATATATATATATATGCAAAAATTGCAAAGTAATGAAATGGTCAAGGAAGCATCGTACTTACGTCTTTTTCTGTGATGATTGCCGATAAATCAGTCCAACCTTGCTGGGATCCACATACTGATGGTACACGGCAATCACCGCCAAGTCCTGTTTACAACATTTATTAAAAGAATTGTTTTGTTGAATTATTATTGTTGTTGAGATTGTCATTGAGACAAATTACAGCATTTATTTACCAACTAAACCAATCGTTTTTAAATTCCGAAATGTGTATACATATTCATATATACAATGATACCTCGGTAGCCTAACGACTCGATAACCGAACAAAAATTCTACCGTACTCGAACAAAAATTCGGTGCTGACCACACGAGAACGACGACGTCACCCAAACTGCGGAACTCGGCTGCCTCTTGGTCATTCAACAAGAAAGCGGTGCGCAAATATATGGATACGACCGTCAAACCAAAGTAATACGAGTATGCAATCTTTCACAGTAGACCAGGGGTCCGCAACTACTTTTTAGCGCGACCCAAAAAAAAAATTTCTAACTTCTCGCGACCCAAGCATTTGGTAAACATGTTTTTAGTTATCGATTTTAAGACTATTGTCGACACTAGCATTTTTCTTGCACAAAATTATATGAAACTTATCCCATAAAATTGTGAATTTGTCGGGCGTTGATCCCCACTGCAATAAGTGCTCCGTACGGAGCCTCAGGGCTCCGCGAGCTATTCGTTCACTTAAAAAACTGACTTGGTTAATTTTGTATCTGTGAAGAAGCATTAACGTCACTAATAAAATTTGACAGCAGTGGTGTCGAAATGTGGTAGTGATTCAAATATAGCATTATCTAGAACTAAGGGCGCAGCAGCCATGGTTTTCTAAAAGGGAGGGGGTTCAGAATAAAAAATTCCCGAGCAACACTCATCGCCTAATCCATGGCCGAGAATTTAAAATGTCTTGTCATATCAATTCAATTGTGTTCATCGTTGCTCGCCTTTGAGTTGACTAATATACTACACTACAGCAACCATGAAATACTTGTTAAACCGTCTACTAGCAATGGAGGGATAGAAATCGTATTTTTGAGTTGCTCTTTCAGCACTTAGGATTATCGCAATGTTTCGTTGCAGTTATGAAGCCAATTTTATTTGATATTTTCATTTCGAATTCGGTCTATGCATGAATGCATCAGTGATTTCTAGCTGCAGTGATGGGACAAATATCGGCCGACACAGTAAAATGATCAAACTTTCATTGGAGGGTTTAAATAAGGGGTGGGCAAACCACAGCCCGCCGGCCGGATTCGGCCCGCGACGCTTCACTGAATTATATTAACAAAACCGCTTTATTGACGCATATATTTTTTACGTAACAAAATTAGTTTTGAGAAACTAGATTATACTATAACCTAACAAGTATATAATTCACAATCACTCGTTTATTGAGCCTATAATTGATTATAATTAGAGAAATGGCAACAGAACGTAAAAAAGTTGATGCTGAGCGCAAATGGTTTAATGTCGCTGAATATATTCAAATGATCAGTCTTCGCGCACTGCTTGAAATTTCTGGGGGGGGGGGGTCCAGTCCGCCAATGACTTGCAACCTTTATTTTGGCTCGCGAACGACAAAAGTTTGCCGACCTCTGGTTTAGACTTTAGAGTCAGTGAAGTTATACAGTCATCCCAACTCAAATCCTCGACCCACTGCCCTATCTCCCTCCACTTTCCTATTCTCGACCTACCGCCCAATCTCATTCAACCTTCCTATCCTCGACACACTTTCCTATTTCCCCCAACCTTCCTATCCCCTGCGACCTTTTTATTCTCAACTGATTTGCCCTATCTCCCTCAATTTTTCTACCCTCCACTGCACTATCTGCCTCAATCTTCCCACCCTCGATCCATCGTCCGACCTCTCTCAACTTACTTATCTTCGACCGACGTCGCTATACCGCTCAGTACCTAACCTAACGTCGCTACAATTACGACTCGACCGTCAAAATGAACTTCACCATCTTGCGACCAACTTCCATGTGTTATACTGGTCGAGTATGCCAATGAGATTTTTCAATCGTACTTCTACAAAACTTGATTGACGGCATTCGTAAATGTAGGCTGGAATCTCAATTGGTAATCAATAACCATAATTAGTGACGTAAAAATGTGCTACTAATTAGGCTACTGATAGCATCGGGTTTGGAGTCACTGTTTTTAAAATTTTAACAGGCCTTTCGATATTCACATATCCGAGTTCCTTTTTAGAAACTCATTTAATGTCGCCTATATTTCCGTGCAGGGCAAAACGATGAGGAAATATTCAAATTATTTTTCCAAACTATGGTACTTCCAAACTATTTTTGGGCCATGAAATGTTTTGTCGTAGCTAGCGTTGCCAACTGCCCTTTAATTCAGCTTATAGTCCGAAAATTGAGCTTATCTTATCTGAAACTTAATGAAGTTGCAAAGGACGCAGCTTTTACTATAAAATGTCGAAGAAGAATATTATACGAACCACCAGAGCACTATCGCTTGTTTCGGATCCCCACCATATTGTCACAAGACTCACGACATGGCCAATTATTAACAAGGGCATAAAACGGCTTGTTAAAATTTAGAAAACTGTCATTCCCAACAAGAAACCATCAGTAGCCCAATTATTAGTAACACATTTTTAAACTGCCAATTATGGTTATTGTTTACCATTTGAGATTCCAGCCTACATAATATACGAAAGCCGTCAATCATGTTTTGTCGACGTACGATTGAATCATCTCATTGGCATACACGACCAGTATAACCCATGGAAGTTGGTCGCAAGATAGTAAAGTTCCGTGTGGCGATCGGGTCGTAAATAAAGCGCCGTTAGGTCTGGTACTGAATAGTATAGCACTGTAGGTCAAAGATATGTTTGATGTGGCAGGTAGGGAAGTGGGTCAATGATAAGTAGGTTGAGGGAGATAGGGCAGTGGGTCGAGGATAGGAAGGTTGAGGGAGATAGGGCAGTGGGTCGAGGATAGGAAGGTTGAGGGAGATAGGACAGTGGGTCGAGGATAGGAAGGTTGAGGGAGATAGGGCAGTGGGTCGAGGATAGGAAGGTTGAGGGAGATAGGCCAGTGGGTCGAGGATAGGAAGGTTGAGGGAGATAGGCCAGTGGGTCGAGGATAGGAAGGTTGAGGGAGATAGGGCAGTGGGTCGAGGACAGTTTTCGAGTAGCTCGCGGAGGCCCTAAGTGTCTTTAACAGAGTCTTGAGGGTCCGTACGGAGCATTTTGAAAACCTAATATCTACTTAGTAGGATATAACAATGCGAACAACTAAGTAACAAATGTTTCCTCGACTTTTGATCTCTTGAATTCTTCCTTTTGAATCTACACTCTACCATTGCAAAATTATTGGTACTCATTTCAAGAATTAGGACTTATTTATTTGATTAGGACTTATATTTACCAAAACACAACTAAAAACTTACTAAACAAACTAAAATTATTTTTCCAAACTATGGTACTTCCAAACTATTTTTAAGCCATGAAATGTTTTGTCGTAGCTAGCGTTGCCAACTGCCCTTTAATTCAGCTTATAGTCCGAAAATTGAGCTTATCTTATCTGAAACTTAATGAAGTTGCAAAGGACGCAGCTTTTACTATAAAATGTCGAAGAAGAATATTATACGAACCACCAGAGCACTATCGCTTGTTTCGGATCCCCACCATATTGTCACAAGACTCACGACATGGCCAATTATTAACAAGGGCATAAAACGGCTTGTTAAAATTTAGAAAACTGTCATTCCCAACAAGAAACCATCAGTAGCCCAATTATTAGTAACACATTTTTAAACTGCCAATTATGGTTATTGTTTACCATTTGAGATTCCAGCCTACATAATATACGAAAGCCGTCAATCATGTTTTGTCGACGTACGATTGAATTATCTCATTGGCATACACGACCAGTATAACCCATGGAAGTTGGTCGCAAGATAGTAAAGTTCCGTGTGGCGATCGGGTCGTAAATAAAGCGCCGTTAGGTCTGGTACTGAATAGTATAGCACTGTAGGTCAAAGATATGTTTGATGTGGCAGGTAGGGCAGTGGGTCAATGATAAGTAGGTTGAGGGAGATAGGGCAGTGGGTCGAGGATAGGAAGGTTGAGGGAGATAGGGCAGTGGGTCGAGGATAGGAAGGTTGAGGGAGATAGGGCAGTGGGTCGAGGATAGGAAGGTTGAGGGAGATAGGGCAGTGGGTCGAGGATAGGAAGGTTGAGGGAGATAGGGCAGTGGGTCGAGGATAGGAAGGTTGAGGGAGATAGGGCAGTGGGTCGAGGATAGGAAGGTTGAGGGAGATAGGGCAGTGGGTCGAGGATAGGAAGGTTGAGGGAGATAGGGCAGTGGGTCGAGGATAGGAAGGTTGAGGGAGATAGGGCAGTGGGTCGAGGATAGGAAGGTTGAGGGAGATAGGGCAGTGGGTCGAGGATAGGAAGGTTGAGGGAGATAGGGCAGTGGGTCGAGGATAGGAAGGTTGAGGGAGATAGGGCAGTGGGTCGAGGATAGGAAGGTTGAAGGAGATAGGCCAGTGGGTCGAGGATAGGAAGGTTGAGGGAGATAGGCCAGTGGGTCGAGGATAGGAAGGTTGAGGGAGATAGGGCAGTGGGTCGAGGACAGTTTTCGAGTAGCTCGCGGAGGCCCTAAGTGTCTTTAACAGAGTCTTGAGGGTCCGTACGGAGCATTTTGAAAACCTAATATCTACTTAGTAGGATATAACAATGCGAACAACTAAGTAACAAATGTTTCCTCGACTTTTGATCTCTTGAATTCTTCCTTTTGAATCTACACTCTACCATTGCAAAATTATTGGTACTCATTTCAAGAATTAGGACTTATTTATTTGATTAGGACTTATATTTACCAAAACACAACTAAAAACTTACAAACAACACGCGAAAATTGCCAACACGAGATGATATTCACAACCACGAAAGACTGTCTGAATGGCAAAAGTATCTGAGCGCTTCTGAAACGTTTATTGTTACTCCAATTTTGCACTTATGCTGATTGGCCAATGTTACGACAGCAAATAGGGAAGTGTATACTCGGGGAAACATTCATAATTATAATCAGAGATTTAAAAAATTGTTATACATAAATATGCTACACAGACGCAATGCTTATATTTATGGAAAATTTAAATTGTTTCGCGACCCAGAGCGGAGGGCTTCGCGACCCAAATTTGGGTCGCGACCGCGTAGTTGCGGATCCCTGCAGTAGACTAACGGTAAGACAGTCTTAGGAACCGCCACAAGGTTTGCAATTTGTGATGACGTCATCGCACACAGAAAACGAATTACATAGAACCCAGAGAAATGTGCTCAAACGTACAGTAACGAATACAAATTTCTATCTTCATTATGCACACATTCGAACAAATAATATTATTTAGGTACGCGTTTTTTTTTTAATATTTTGGGTATTTTGGAATGCGTACGAACGAATTCAAATGATTACCATTGTTTCTTATGGCAAAAAAAGTTTCGGTTCTCCAACGAATCGGTAGTCAAACAATAATCAGGAACGGATTATCTTCAACTACCGAGGTATCGATGTATATATATGCTTATAATAATAAGGTTTCTTAACAGGGCTCATTTTATTGAATTTGAAAAATTGAGCAAGATTTTCGGATTGTCGAATTGCCCAACTAGCGACGCGTGCCTGCGATACCGGTTATTCTGTGCAGTTATGCATTCTCTCTTTTCGTAATAAATTGTAAAGTATATGAAGGAGCTTTCATCCTCCATTGCTTACCCGATTCAATGACTTAAGGCTAAAATTAGTAATTAAAAAAGAGCCAAAAACGCACCCATAGCAAATCCAAACATACAGGCTAGCAGTGCTAATGTAGTCTTCATCTAGTCGTCGACTTGCGTGCAAAAGTATTTAAACTTAATCGATTGACATTAAAAAAAGTTAGCATGAAAGAAATATATAAAGTTTAAATGATCTGGTACAATCCTAAATGCTAAAATTACTGCGAGACTGATCGCTTAATGACACCGTGATGCGCCATAGTCTAATACAATGGTTCCATTACATTTGAACCCACGTACATTTGAACCCATGACAATTGCACCTGTATGGTATTGCACGGATGGAATTTTTTTTGTTTCACGGATAGTTAAACCCATACTAACCCTAACCCATGGGTTTTAGCACCCGCATATAGATTGAACCCGTGGATATACACATGGGTTCAAATGTACGTGGGTTCAAATGTACGGTCACCTAATACAATATTTGCAACGAATCACGTTTGCTCTTGATAACCTGTAACAAGTGTATAATATATTACATGCTATAAAAATTGTCAGTATTGCCTCAAGGTTTTATATAATATTACTGAAGCGGAAAGTATATTAATGAAAATTTAAGCCTGGAGGCGGAACAAAAAAACAAGTTTACTTACGATGGATAATCATTAGTTGGAACTCTTCTCTGCTGATTTGTGTATTGTGCTAACTTAATAATTACTATAATGTTTGGTATGATGAATTTTTGAACGAGTAATAAACTTTCGGCATAGTTGATTACTTATTGATCGCAAAATTAATGTTGTTTTTCGCAGTCATCATTCTCAAACGTACACTAGTTCTTATGGAATTCCTCCTTAATTTTCAAGCATTAATACTGTTAGTCAACTCCTTATTGCACAAGCTCGAATTTTCATTAACTATCGCTACATCTCTCAAAATATCACCAGTTGATAAACTATATATGTGTGGGTCGTAATCTATATTTTGCACACATGGATATTTGCCAAATAACATTCTGTACAAAATAAAGTCAAAGTACCTAACGCTTTCCTACGACTTCATGTGCATTGTACTGTAAAATGATCTTATTTTGCGCATAATGTTATCACCGCAGATTGCAAAAATTGTATTGCACAATGGCGGTATTGTCTCTTATCAACAAGCCTATTGGTTTACTGCTGCAATGTCAACAGTATCGTCTTGTTTTTTAAATAATGTTATCCCGGCAGATTGCAAAAATTGCATTGCACAACAATGGTATTGACAGGGTTGCCACCTTTGAATAAAATACACTATGATACATATCTCAAAGTTTTGAATTGATTAACTGCTAAACTCTAAATATAAATAGAAATCAAAACAAACTACTTGTTATGGATCTTCGGCAAACGCAGCGCCAGTCAGTCTAACTTTATATATGCGTGTGTTTTGGGGACGAAAGGCACAAATAAAATTACTTATTACCAACTGCCACTAGCTGCTTTGTATTCTGTAAGCGGCTTGGTTCTATGCTGGTATTTTTCTGAATCAAAGCGATTTTTTCTCTACAACTCCCAAATATTGAATTTTTATCTAAATCAAACATTTTGTTGTTGTTCACTTTAAAAAAGATCTAAAGCCGTCATTTTTGCGGGTTACAACGCAATCTACATTTGTGATATATAAGTTAGTTTACTATATATCCCAAGATATAATCGTGTGTTGTTATGCAACTTTAACTTACCTCCTATATGAGTTGGAAAACTTTTAGGAATGGGATACTGTCCTCCGGCCTTCTTATTCTCGACCCATCGCCCTATTTCTTCGGCCTTCCTATCTCCGACCCACGGCCCGATATATTCTCAGCGATCCAATCCTCGACACACTCACTGCCTTATCCTCCCAGCTTCTCTATCCTTGGCCCACTGTCCCAAATTCCTAAACTCGACCTACTGCTTTGTTCCACTCAGCCTTCCTATCCCCTTGTTATTCTCGGCTCCGTTCCAATTCCAGCTGCGCATTACTCGCGTCGTGACCATCAAGTCTAACATTCTCTGTTTCTTTGTACTGAGTGATATAGAAGTTTTCTCGAATCTCCGGGGTATTATTAGCATGTGATATCCGGATGTTTTTATACGATTCACTTTTGATGCTAAGGAAATGTCGCACGGCAGTAGATGGGACAGCACACATTTGTATTTCAAGTTGGGACACGAAAACCGTAGGATTTTCGTGGAAATGATGGTAAAACATTTCATTGTGGACTTCGTATCCATATATTTGAGAATAGCTCTCTTGTTAGTTATAAAGAGCAAAACATATTCATCATTAACAATATACTTCGTGAAGGGGCTGATGGACACATGTATAATAGTTATGAATATAAAGTTAACAAAGTCCGTAAATTTTGTTGTTTTGCATGTCTCTTCGTACATGTAGTCCTATTTAGTAGACGCTAAACCTAAATTTAACAATTTTTATTGCATTTTATTCCAATGGGAATTCAATGGGATGGGATGGGACAGGTATAATTGCTATGGGATGGGAATGGAACAGGAAAATATGTCCCATGGACAAGCCTGGGAAATTGTAACATTTTTTTCGTCGTCGTCTCGAAAATCCAAATCTCTCAGCTGTTTGTTATTCACTTTACGTTGGGAGAGTACATTTACCATCAGAGATAATTCGGTCATCGGCATCGGTCAACCGTTGTATTTATTCCTCAATTAGCAGATGTAAATTTAAGTTGTAGATTCATCTTCAACCTAAGAATCTACCTATTTAGGAGTCACCGTGATACCAATACCATAAAATCATGAATGTTTACTCATTTTTTTATAGTTAGAGGTATCCGTGAATTTCAAAAGACTTGATATGATAACTTATGTAATCTGGATTTAGAATAGGCAACCACGTACTGAACAACTCATCCATTAAATCATGAAATAAATACACAGAATTTGAGAAGATATTTAATCATTAAATTTTGTTATTCACTCGATTCTAAACTTTATTTTTTGCTAGCATTTCCGATTATTGAATATTATTCCTTTTGATCTTTGATAAGTATCTTTCTCTTTCATTTTCATTCTTAACCTAAATAAATAATATCGAATTAAAAGAAATAAAGATAAATATTAAAATTAAAATTATCGGTAACACACCATTGCCTCGGTTTCAACTGAATTATCACTTACAAATTGGTATCTCGCAATACTCCCATCTCTTTTCTGAATCCATAGTGTAGCACCATGGTCTGGCCTCGCCGTCTGGATTACGACAAAAGTTTGCATTCAGTCCTGAATTAGGGTAGTTGGCTTTTGTTCTAAATGCAGTTAAATTCAGTTGTTAGTTCTAATTTATAGTTATTTTCTCACACTGAATACATAATTCATGTGTTCTTCAATTGGAACTACAGTCTACTCTGAAATTGCATGATTCTTGAAGCTATTCATAACAGCAATGTGAGTTGGCCGGACATTGTGTGTCAGGATACGTTTGAATCAACAAACAATAGTTTGATGCATTATTTGAATTTATCTATATTGTGAAATCAAACAAATTGCCAAGGATCAATAAACAACCATTTATATATAATTTTAAATCCATCACGCGCGGATAAGACAGACCATTCCATCATTATAAATTCTGTCGTCTGAGCAAAACACTCAATTTTGGTAGTTTTTAGTCAGAATATGTTTTTATTTGTGACATTGTACAAAGTTCAGGTTGCATAGGAGTTTTCTGTGAAACAATCTTTATTTACTGGAATACGTGATATATTTAAATGCAATCTTATAGATATTCTTCCATGTTCTGATTTTTTATTTGTTTTGATGTTGCTGTGTTAAGGCGAAGAAGTACCAGTCATATTTTTTCTGTCTGACATGGGTGGTGGTACCGTTCCACCTTTGATGTAATGGTGGGTCGCTCCAGTCACATAGGCTGGCGAAGTTAGGTCTGTAAATCCATACCGACTGCTCTGTTCCGTTCAGGCCCTAATAGAAATACCGGTGCTGTTGCAGATTATCCTAGCTAACTATTCCCATACGCGGTCCTGATTTTTGGCAGGTACAGTCTTAATTAAATTAAGGTTCCCTACAGAAAACCGCACCATAACGGCAGACTAAGACAGCGTAGACATAGGTCAAAATAAATTCCCATAAATCCAAACAAAGCTTCCACGCGAAATTACCAGGTCCTAATTATTGAATTATATCGACTTCAACTTTTGATTCTACTTTGAAAACTTGCATCAAACCTTCCATAGACGAGGAAAATAAATATGCTTTTGTCAATTTACCTGGAATGTTCGTGTGGAGCTTGTTTGTCCCATCTCTGACAGGCTTTTCCACTTTCAGTCATTGCAACTATTCCTCTGTATTTTATGCCTTTGCCAACGACACATCCTGAATAATTAAGTTTTATTTTCCATAATTACACTGTATTTATTTGTTTATCTCATAGAACTTTATAAGAGATAGTTCTTAGTAAATTTGATTTTGAGGAATATTTTACTAATTACTTAACAGAGCTAATATTACTAACCAGTTGCTTCCATCCTGTTTTCGAGTTCGATCACCTTCTCTTCTAGAACTGCGATTTGCAGCTAAAATGTTTGAAGCGTTCATTAAAGCTTGTAAAAGTAAGCATATAAAGTGTGGCTAACTCATGACCAATGTTCGATAAAAAAAAAAACTCAAAATAAGAAAAAAACTTTTGCTTATATTCATTTAATCATTCATTTAAATATATTCAATAATCAGCGAAGTGTGAAGTATATACCACTATACCACCACTATATTATTTCTTGTCATCTGGCCTAAAAACGGAAAAATTACGCCGTCGCCCTATTGTCTACCCAGATATAAATACAATTGATTAACCAGTTCTTTGCATTCACGTAACTGGTAGAGAAAACCGATATGTGCCACACTAAAGCGGCGACGAGTCCAAAAATATTTTGCAAAGATCACAACGGATTCTAATCCCGCGCAGAGCAATCAGCGCGGCGAAAAACGAAGATTGAATATCGTCACGCTAATAACCGAATTGCGTAAGTCATTTTTAGCAGTTTTGAGAAAAACGTAAAAAACTTCCTAATGAAATTGCTATGCCATTGAGAGTCAATAATTTGCCATGGTTGAATTTTTTGATCGTAGCCAGATTTAAGTTAATTTGTATGACGCAGTCATGTGACGTCATAATGACGCACTGTGACTTAGGGCAGAAATGTGTCTATGACTAGGGGACATACGCAATTTTGCAACTTGACTATATGTACCAGTCCTGAAAACCAAACAATCCAAAAACGAATGTAATTCTTAGTATATACGAAGTCTAATCCCCAAAATAGCTAATCTGTTTCAATTACATTATTTTTTATGTTTAAAATATATATTTCATCAATACAACACGCTCTGCACATCCACCGAAATAAGACTAAAGTTAAATATGAAGAATAAAACAGCGATGTACCCTTATCTAAAAGCCAACCAAGGTGAATTGGACTCAGACAGTGAATATCACAAGTGTACGCCTTCCTATACTGTAGTATAAATTGAAATTAATAAGCGCTAAGCTAGAATCTGAGATGCAAAAACTCGAAAATCCTTCGCCGAGGTTATTTTGCATTGTGACGTCACAATAGTACTGCGTTAACAGTGATAATTCATTATGACGAAACAATTGAAAAAATTTGCATATTATACAAAATCTCTATTTTTATGGGTTTCGGAATTCTTAAAATAAAATCTGAGTTAACAGACAGGTGCGCAGCATTACATAAATACTTGTTTTATGAAAAACTCAAAACCGCCAAAAATGACTTACGCAATTCGGTTATTAGCATGACGATATATATATGCAAAAAATATATCAAAGACATTGCAAAGTAATGAAGTGTCCAACAAAACATCGTACTTACTTCTTTTTTTGAAATGATTGCCGATAAATCAGTCCAACCTTGCTGATCTCCACATACTGATGGTACACGGCAATCACCGTCAAGCCCTGATTACAACATTGAATATATGTATCTTTTTGTTATTGAACTTTGTTATTTTTGTTATAGTCTTTTTATTTAGCAACTTCGGCTTTCAAATTGTAATGTTTCCTAGAAACCTATTGTACTAACTAATTTCACTAGTACTAAGTTCCCACGCCGCTTTATCCCCATTTCTTAACGAATTCAAAAAATTGAGTCACTGGGAGGATTGTTGGATTGTCTATTTCGGCGAGCTTATGCTTGACGAAAGGTGCATATGCACGATACTGATATCTTTGTGCAGATATTCATTCTCTCTTCTCGGAAAGAAGTGCAATTTATACAAACTGAGGACTAACATTAATAATAAAAAAAAGTGAAAACCGTACCCATAGCAAATCCAAACATACAGACGAGCAGTCCTAATGCTATCTTCATCTCGCTGTCGGTTTTCGTGAAAAAGTATCTAAGACTAAATCTATTAACAATAAAAGTTAGTTAGTATATATAGAGAGAATACGTATATAGAGTTATTTTAATGAACCTCTACTATACTAAAGTTGCTGCACGACTGTTTGGACAAGTGATGCGTCTAGTCTTATGCTGTTTTCTAGCGATATCAGGACTCGAATGCAATGATTACAAAGACTGACGTTTCCCTCTTTATACCAAGAAACACGTTTGAGAAAAAATATATAGTACGCGATCGAAGATTAGAAGTTTTGTTTTAAAGTTCTATATAATAATACTTGAGCGGAAAAAGTAGTATTCAAAAAGCCTAAGGGCGGAACTTTTCGTCCTCATTGCAGCTTCTCTAGAGAAAAAATATCTTCGGCCAAAAAAGTTTCAGTTTTTGACAACACGTGAGACATACAAACCTTGTTACAAACTATTTTCTCAGATGATCTAAATTCTAAATGAATATAAAAATGGAACAAATTTCAAGTGACGCTGGGAAAAAATATTCGGTGTCATTAGATACAACACGTCAAATGTAACGAACGCACATATGCTTTTAGCTTTTCTGTTACTGCTCCCGATCACAATAATATTTATATATTACTGGAAAAAATATTATTCTAAGTGGTACGGGCAACATCATTTACACAAAGTGGTTGCAAATTTCAATAAGTCCATTTCGGCGCTCCCGAAGTATGTGCACCAAGATGGCGCACAACCTGAACCTTACCTGGTACAGATACTATGTTCAGGTTGTGCGCCGTCTTGGTACACATACTTCTTGAGGTCCTCCATTTCTTCGTAAGTGAAAATAGCGATCAGAGACCGCCGACTTATCGATCTAGCGGGGTGTATGCTTCGCTCTGACTCCATGATGACGCCGCGTGTCTCATCACTAATTAATTAATAACTCGCTAATTATACGACATAATTCATCCAAAATCAGTAGGCTTCTGATATGATGAATGAACATGCAAAATTTGGAGCAGATTCAACTTCGCTTTTGTGAGATATCGCGTAACATACGAAAGTGTCTAACAGACAGACAGACAGACAGACAGACAGACAGACAGACAGACAGACAGACAGACAGACAAACAAGCAAACAAACAAATACCTATCAACATACTTACCAATCAAGATCGATAAGTAATTAGATGGTAGACAATTATGCAACAAAATTTGAAAATTCGTCGAGAATAAAAAGCATTTAAATATTTAGATCAAAAATTTTTGCACTTATTCGGAGAAAATTGACCTGTTTCCTGGTTCATTCGCATACTATAGTTGATAAACTTTTTTTCAAAAAAAACATATGGCCCCAGGAGCCAGACGGAGACATTCAAATTTATCGCACGATAAATGTCGAGACATTCGTGTGTACGTATATCAAACTGCTCTACCGAAATGCGACGCCGAAGGCGTTCAGATAATTTAGTATATACCATTTATGTTCCACCCTTACTTCATCTACGCAAAATTACAGACTCGAATTAATTAGGCGAAAAAAATAAGAAATGTGTGTTTGCAAAATAGAATGCATGCCATTAATAATGATGTGTGAAGCCGCTTTGGCTCACTCACTCAATCCTAAAGTATCAACCGAGTATCTTCATTGCTGTACATATTTCTTGTCATTAATTGTTTCAACGACCTTCTGTCTTGATCGCTGTTTGAAAATTGCCATATTTTGGTACATTCCACTGATCGTTGATCTTGATTTACAGAAGATTACCTATATATAAATTAAAAAAAATTCTCTCGCCCACGTTAAGCGTAGGTGGACAATCAAGTTAATATTTTAATAATAGTCGTGCAAACGGATTCATATTTATTTTAAACAATTTTGCAACACTGGTAATGCAGCGATAATATTGCGGCCACGATGGGAGATGTGTTGTTTAAATATGGCCGGAAGCTATAAATTACCTGTGACATATAATTAAGTCGAAAACTGGTGATTTCAATTATTAACACTTTTCAAAACCCCATTTTCTCAACTTCTTACTAATCTGTTTCACCATTTGTAAGCCCTTTTCTATAGCTTATTTCAAACATATAAATAATTACCGATACCGCATTCATTGCCGATACATGTATCGATCAGATATCAACACACCGATGTTTCAAAAAGCCGGTGTTCCGATACTGACATTTCGCTAATAGTTATTTAATTATCATCTTGATTGTAAGGGACAGACAGGATAAGTTGTCTGTGAACACTATATACAGTAATCATTATTTCAGCTTAACGAACAGGTATTCCAGAACATAAGAAATTGACATTTCTGATTCAAATGCATAAACACGTGTCATTAGCAATTTAAAGTACTTGAATCAATTGTACCGCAAATTGCTTTGCAACCTAGTGCATATGCGCCTCAAATTATGGTAGTTTCTGCAGACTGCAGACGCTGCGCACAGGCTCAAGGAATCGCGGTGTTCGATCTGCGGAATCAATAAAATTGTAGTTATAGGTAAGTATATTTGGGACAATTGGGTGGCAAGTGGAAAACGTAGCACATGTGGAACACGACATGTTTGAAACACCCTAAATGCATGTCATCAATAATGATGTGAAAGTCGCCTTAGCTCACTCATTTAGTTCTAAAGCATTATTTGAGTATCTTTATTGTTAGAAATATTCATTTCAGTAATTTTTTTCAACGACCCTCTGTCTTGATCGCCTTGCAACCTAGTGCATATGCGCCTCAAATTATGGTAGTTTCTGCAGACTGCAGACGCAGACGCTGCGCACAGGCTCAAGGAATCGCGGTGTTCGATCTGCGTAATCAATAAAATTGTAGTTATAGGTAGGTATATTTGGGACAATTGGGTGGCAAATGGAAAACGTAGCACATGTGGAACACGACATGTTTGAAACACCCTAAATGCATGTCATCAATAATGATGTGAAAGTCGCCTTAGCTCACTCATTTAGTTCTAAAGCATTATTTGAGTATCTTTATTGTTAGAAATATTCATTTTCAGTAATTTTTTTCAACGACCCTCTGTCTTGATCGCTGTTGAAAATTGCCATATTTCGGTACATTCCACTGATCGTTAATCTTGGTTTACAGAAGATTACTATTCTGAAGATTTTTTTTGTCACGATATGCGTAGGTGGACAAACAAGTTTAATATTTCAATGTAGTAGTCGTGCAAACGGAATCATTCTTATTTTAAACAATTTTGCAACACTGTTTATGCAGCAATCATATCACGGTCACAGCAGCAGTACAGTACTACAGTTGTTTTAATATGGAGGGAAGCTATAAATTACTTGTGACAGATAAATAAGTCGGAAACTGGTGATTTCAATTATTACCAACTTTCGAAACCTCATTTCTCCACTTCGTACTAATTCTTTTTTACCATTTGTAAGGCTTTTTTAATAGTTCATTTCAAACATATCGAGGCGTTTGTGATCTTTCGAAGTTGAGCTCGGACTATATTGGAAATATACTCACGCCTAATCAATAGAATTGCGGTGTATTTTTTGGCACTTCCTAACTATCACAGTGAAGATTGCATGGGAATTTGTGGGATAAAAGATGCAAAGCGCTCCAAACTATATCAATGCTAATTAAATTGCTTCGTTACAAAAAACAAGAACACAAAAATTATCTCGTCGGCGCGCTTCACACTAAGCCTAATTCACCGCGCCTCTTATTACCCTGCGTGGGTTCTCATCCCATGCGGGGATAATTATGTGCGAGAAAATTTCTTGACTCACGTAACACTTGGTTCACGTAACCGTTGTGGGTTACGGATCCTCCGCCATCAAGTTCATGCATCTGAAACAAAATGACTGGCTAACTAATCTCATACCCGACATGTACTGGTAACCGGTCGAGAAGCCGTGGTTCGCCATAAAATTAGGCCGTCTTACAGGCTTTCCTTTCTCTCCGGGATAAATATGTAAATCCTATCCTATCCATTAGTATTAAATTGTAGCATGAAGATGCATGTTTATCCTCAGGAAAAGAAGTAAATATGAATTTCTGACAATTTAAGCCCGTCCGCATCAAACTACGAAAACAAGTTCTTTTGGCGAATGTATAAACAGATACCTCCAGAAGATATCGATTGTCACGCGACTCGAAACAATCCAATTCAGTAGTTCTATATGTAAATAACAAGAAATAACAAGGAAATTGTTGGAAAACTAAAGATAAAGAAATTTTGTTTGGCTGCGCAGTAGGGTAGTGTTTTTGACTCCTAGTATTGTATGAGTGTACATCAATTGTGATTGCGAACACGGAAGGATTAAGAATCCTATAAATATATTTTTTTCATTCCATCTGTTCTTTTTATTTTGTGTTCTTAATTTTGTCTTTCTTCCTATTATAGTAAACACTTTCAATTCTGTTAATTGTAACTTGAAAGCAAATTTTCATATATCGTGAACGTTCATTGTGTACACCATATGAATTCTCGAATTCTTTAATGTTAACTTTTGTAATCGCAATCGCTTTTGTAATTCAACCTTAATAACCTTAAATGTATATAAAAATGTTTGGCATGTTAACTTTTGTAATCGGGAATTAGAATGCGAGGTAGCGATCTGTATAACCTTCAAAATATTTCCTTTTCATTCGTAAAATTAATAGGACCATATACGTACATTTCGGACATTGGTTTTTATTTATTTTAGTTTATTCAATTCCAACGGAGGTGAAGGCTCTTTTCTGTTCTCTTTTTACCTGAAAACACAGTGTCAGTGATATTATTCAAACCTATACAAAGATGGCGAAGTATGTGATAAAATTTAAAAATGAGAAATCCATTTTATTTTTAATTCTGTTTCCACCAAAGAAATAATATAAAGTTAATCATTTAGGGCAAATGTTTTTTTTTCGTATTATATCAATTGGAATTTCATCGAAAATCGAAAATAAAGGCTCCGTCAGATGCTCTGTTAATGTGACTGTCGAAGTTTACTTTATCTATAATAGAACTACATATGTAGTTGCGTGATTTAATGTTTTTAATATCCTATACGTAAACCCACTATAACGACATTACAAACCAAACACGTACAAGATGGCACCGAGTAAAATTCCCACGTCTTTGTTGAGACATTCGT